ATTACAGGCATGAGCCACTGCGCTCAGCCCTCCTTTCCCTTTTCTTATATCATCTACTTTAGAAAACTATAACTATAAATTCTTCTTCTGCCATTTTGAGATGTGAATCATATAAAATGCCTCTTTCCACTTTGACAACCCAGGACTGTCTTTCTTAAGAACATGGGAGCCATTCTGTGAAACACAATCAGTCATTAAGGAATATAGAGTCCCTAGACACCCTCATTGTGGGAGAGTGGGAGACTAACTTTGGTGTGTGCCTTTTCTTTTTATTCTCAGTTGTAAAATTATCTCCTGTCATGAAGTTAAGTAAAAGCTTACTTTTCTTTTAGGTAACGTGAGTTCACACACATAGATGGCCTTTGGTCCACCCATCCCATCTCTTAAAAACTTTCCAGCCCTTTGATTCATTGTAGTTAAGTTCAGACTTAGTTCTGGAAAAATTATGAAAATCCTACCATACTATGCAAATCTTAAATATGATTATAATAATCCTTTTGGCAGTCTATAGACAGACCAGAAAATGTTCAGAGAATTCTTGATTTTTGTACCAACAATAAAAAAAAGTTGGGGATGAAGGAGGGGACGGGGTCATCCAAAGCACTGCATGATCTCAAACTCATTGTGATGTGTTATGAGTCCTGAGGTGGGCAGCAAACCAAAGTCCAAGGTTAGCTGCACCCTGAGCTGATATGCCAGCTAGGAGGCAGGGCACACATAAATCTGCTGAAGGGCAAGGGGAAAGCAGGCTGTTTTTTCCTGTTTATTGTTTGTTTGTTTGTGTTTTTAAGTTGCTAGAATAATTTGAGAGTTGATAAATTTTACAGAATGCCGTTAAGTCCTTTGGTCCACACCCCTTTATGCCTTGGATCATTCCCAATTTTTAGAGTTGGAAAGAAGAAATTAGAGATAAGATTTATTGTCATACTTAATGACTCACTTTTCTTCCACTACACACACACACAGACACACACACACACACACAGACACACACACACACATTAAACTAAACTTAAAAAACAGCCTCAGCCATTTTCATTCACTCTACGTTGTTGGCCAAGAGGACGCAGAGGCAAGTAGGGGTTCTTCAGGGAATGGTTTTCTTCACAATAGAACTGCAGCTCTTGGCCTCAGGGCTATTTTTCAGAGGACAGAGATTTCCCGGATTGCCTCAATCTGGTGCTGTTATCTCCCAGGTGCCTTGGACTTCTTCCTCTCCTTGCCAGAAATACAGGAGGACCTTGGTTATGCCTCCATCCCAGCTACAGGTGTCAGAGGAATGAATAATCACTGGAGAAAGACAAGACTTGTTAGTAGGCTGTTGAATCTCCCCTCAAAATATCTGATCAGTTAGTCTCCAGAAACCTGCCTATTCTGAGATAAGGAGGATAAGTGAGTGTGGTGGTAGAGTGTGTGTATGTGTTTTGTCCTCTTTGTGTGTATGTATGTGGGGTATATTTACAGTGATGGTGGCATCCCAAGTCATTCAACAGCAAGGTCTTGCTGAAACTTATTATTGCAAAAATAGCAGTGTCATAATATTCAGGGCTATAGAAGGTCTGGGGAAGGATTGATCCTGGAGTATGGGGCCCAGAACACCCATGATAGACCCCAAATACAGGCAGAAGAGATAGGCAGCACCAGGCTCCCCACTACTTTTGCTATGTTGTCCAGGGTGATGGTCCTTCACTGTTTTCACTTTCTACTCAGGTTCTAAGAGATATAGAACAAAGGGACTTCACACAGTAACAGTTAAATGTTTCCTTGGGCCTGAGTTTCTTCCTTGGACCTTTTCCTGCCTCTTCCCTATGATATACCATACTGGACAGCACCAACAAATGACTATTTTAAGAGTATTCTATCCCATTGTCTCCATAGGCACATCAACTGAATTCTTGATTCAGTTGTTTTGTTTTTGTTTTTGTTTTTGAAAATAAAAATATCCTAGCAGTTTAATTCCTTTTTTTTTAAATTGTACTTTAAGTTCTGGGGTACATGTGCAGAACACCCAGGTTTCTTACGTAGGTATACGTGTGCCATGGTGGTTGGCTGCGTCCATCACCCCATCATCGACAGTAGATATTTTACTAATGCTCTCCCTCCCCTAGCCCCGCACCACCCCCGGCAGTCCCCGTGTGTGATGTTCCCCTCCCTGTGTCCATGTGTTCTCATTATTCAACACCCACTTATGAGTGAATACATGTGGTATTTGGTTTTCTGTTTCTGTGTTAGTTTGCAGAGAATGATGGTTTCCAACTTCATCCATGTTCCTGCAAAAGACATGAACTCATCCTTTTTTATGGCTGCATAGTATTCCATGGTGTATGTGTGCCACATTTTCACTGTCCAGTCTATCATTGGTGGGCATTTGGGTTGGTTCCAAGTCTTTGCTATAGTGAACAATGCTGCAGTAAACATACATGTGCATGTATCTTTGTAATAGAATGATTTATAATTCTTTGGTATATACCCAGTAATCGAATTGCTGTGTCTAATGGTATTTCTATTTCTAAATCCCCTCACACTGTCTTCCACAATGGTTGAACTAATTTATACTCTCATCAACAGTGAAAAAATGTTCCTATTTCTCCACATCCTCTCCAGCATCTGTTGTCTCCTGACTTTTTAATGATCACCATTCTAACTGGCATGAGATGGCATTTCAATGTGGTTTTGATTTGCATTTCTCTAATGACCAGTGATGATGAGCTTTTTAAAATATGTTTGTTGGCTACATAAATGCCTCCTTTTAAGAAGTGTGTGTTCATATCCTTTGCCCACTTTTTGATTGGGTTGTTTGTTTTCTCCTATTCTGTAGGTTGCCTGTTCACTCTGATGATAGTTTTTTTTTTTTTTTTTCTTCTCCGTTTAATTAGATCCCACTTGTCTATTTTGGCTTTTGTAGGCACCATAACTTGTGTAAGAGCAAGCTGCAGATGAGCTGCTGCTATTCCAGCTACCTTAGTTTATAGGTTCCCAAGAGTCTCTCCCTCCCCCTACCAAAATAAAAAAACGACACATGCACATATGAAATCCTCAGTAAACTCCTAAACATTTGTATATTTAGAGTGATTGTCCTTATAGAGTTATTGTCCTCATGTTGTCAAACATCTTGTCTCCCACTGGGGGATTTCTGCCTTTGCATTTAGTTGAGACCATGAGATTAATTTCTTGCTAATTAAAAGTAAGCAAATGCGAATCATGGGAAGTCTCTTTCCTCTCTTCCTCATTACTTATACTGATGCTTAGAATGTTACTGTGATGGCTGGAATTCCAGCAGCCTTTTGCACTATAATAGGGGTCATATCCTAGTAATGACAGAAAGAGTCTCCGGTGACCCTGGAGTTATTATTCCAGCCCAGCCCTGGCCACCTTCATACTTGTTACAAATATGTTTAAGAAATAAACTTTTATGAGCCTTTCCAACTCTAGTTGGAATGTTATTTTTAATAATCTTTTAAATACATTATCAGCATGTGCTAACACAGTGGGCTTGATTTTCTCCTGTTATTCTGTATTATATTTTTATTGTAGATGTTAACATCTTTATATATCTTCCATTTTAACCTTTCCCTTAAACAAACTTCAGTGAAAAACCAATGTTCCAGGAACTATGCCAGGGTATTGGAAAACAAAGATTGGTAAGATAATACTCCACAGTCTTGAAGCACTCATTAGCCCCTCGGTCTACAGAGGTACAGGTGAGGGACATGCGATGAATGACTAGTACTACAGAAATCAGCTTTGTTGTAAGCATTAAGAAAAAAACAGGCCTGGTTTCTGGCCTTGGAAAATTTTTTGCCTAATAGAAAAGGAGAACAGAAGGGCATAAAATAATAAATGTTTACAAGCATTCAGGGAGAGAGCTAGATTAGTGCCTCTTTTGCTTTCAGGCTTATTGTTGAAAAATTACTAATCACCTGGAGGCCAACTATTAAAATGGAGTCAGCAGTGACTTCCCATCAGACCAGGACTTTCAAATTGCATTCCCTCTTCCCTTCACTGATTGGGAGCAATCCAAAAATGGGACGGCTATGAATGGCCAGACATCTGCAAAACAGTTTTTCTTTTCTCTAATTTTTGCAATTATTCTAATTTATATTTGAAACAAATAGTACTTTCTGTCCTTGAGCCCTGTTAGAGCCTTCTGAAAACATGGATGAATTTATACAAGGAGAAAATATCATTTTTTTCTCTTTTTCCCCCAATCTCGGGTTTTTGAGGTTGGCTATAAGGACTAAAATATTCAGTTAAGCCAAGTGTTCTTGAAGCTTGCAGAATGAAAGCTGAGGGTTGAAGTGTGAGTATTATTAGGACGCTGACTGCTCCCCTCCTCCTGTTCGTACTCCAATGACTACCAGCTTTGCTGTGCATACTGTGCACTAGATGCTATGCGTTACGGCTTTACAGAGGTGATCTTTTTAATCCCCATACCCATTCTGTAAAGTAATATAAGCATTGTTTTACAGGTTAGGAAGCTGACACTTGGAGAGATATAACCTGTGCCAAGTCACACAGCCAGGAAGTGCTGTAGCCAGGATGTAGCTGTAGGCAGGTTGACTCCACAGCTCTGTTTTTAACTGTGATGCTAAAGTTTTTCAAATGAGAGGAGCTCACAAGCATAAAAAAAGACCAGAACCTTGTCAGGACAGGGAGCGAAAGCCTCTGGAGCAAGCTGCCGCCCGCCTTCTTTCTGTCAAATGGATATGGGAGGTTATGATCTTGTAAAAGGAGGAATCTGGAAAAGAAGTTAATTTAAACTTGAGCATATAATAACTGCCATGGAAGTCTAACTCTTTGAGTGGGCCATGCTCTAGCCCCTGGTGTGAATCTCGTGATAGGCTGTGCTATCATGAAATAGCACAGACATTTGAAGGTAATTTTCATTACATAAAACAGGGGGTTGGGGTGGGGGGGCTGTTACTTCAGGAGGGGTGGGAGACATGTCATAGTCATCTGTGATTCTTCCTTTTCTGATGTTAATCTCCTTTCCTTTGAAGCTGGGAGACAGTCTACTGGTTCTCTGTCTTCTGGTGCATTTGGACCACCTGAAAGGACAGCCGGTTGGAATGGAGGCCACACTCACACACAGCTCTTATGACGTGGAAGACCGTCTGGGTCAGGGATCAAGTTCGTCATGCTCAAAAGTAAGTTAAGAAAAGTGATGGGCTTTATGTTTGCTCTTCTCTGTGCCAGAAATGCTCTCTCCTTCACGCAATTCACCCATTATGTAAATTTTACCTCCCCATCTAGGCTTTCTCTGGGCAGCCAATCTCTAATATCTCCCTCTAATATCACCCAACCCTGCTTAATTTTCTTCTGAGAAAGGATTTTTTACTCTCTGAAATCCCTAGTTACAATTACTATGTAGCTACAGTTATCACTAGTTTTAATGATATATGTGAGTTATATCACTAATTATATAACTAATATATAACTAGTGATAAATGATAGTTATCACTAGTTATAAGTGCATTGTTATCACTAGTTAAAATTGCATTTAGGACTTTGGTCTTTTCTCGCTTCATATTAAATCCTCAGCTTTAACAATTAGTGCCTGGTATACAGAGGTGGTTATCAAACATTATTGAGATGGATGAATGAGTCCAATTCTATTCTTTTGATAGGACTAGTTAAAACAGCCTGTCAAATATAATTAGAGTTGGCATAGCTTGGACAAAGTTTAGTATGCATTTCACTTTATAATACAGTCCAGAATATGGGAAGATTCTTTTCCCCAACTAACCAATATGTGTGCTATATAGCTTGGCCAATTAACTTTCATAGTTTTCAAAAAGGAACTATGCCCTCTCTCCATTCTTGCCTCCTGAAGAAAAATTACAAATTCTTCCTGAGCTAGTTGTTCTGTTTTCTGCAATTGTCTTGTGCTTTCTTTGTGGGGTGTGTGTGTGTGTGTGTGTGTGTGTGTGTATGAGTGTATGAACGTGTACGTATACGTATGCATGTGTGATGCCATCTAGTATAGTATCATGCTGTAAGGTGCTTTAGTGTCTGTCCTACCTCCAGGTTAACCCAGTAGGAGAATATGTGTGACAGGGACCAGATGCTGGTTGGAGTGGGCCAGGAACCTTGTCAAGCCACTCCCTGCTGGAACTTGAATAGCAGACAACACCTAGAAATGAGGGAAAATCATTCACAGACTTCAAAATAGAAAGGCAAAAATAAGATATACTTTGCTTTGTAACCCAAAATGAAGATTTTGTACAAGCTCGTGGCATTTTCCACCTGTCTCCCTCTCTAGTGCTACCAGGAGGCCTAACCTACTTAAAAAAGCAGGTGTTTCAGGTTCCCAATTGATTAATGCTCTAAACCATCCATTATTCATTGTGTACCCTCTGTGATCAGCATCTTGCTAAGTGCTATAGGGGACACAGAAGACATGGCCTTGCACTCTAGGATCTTATATTCTGGGAGGGGATATGAGACTAATCCTATTGATCACAGAGTATAATTAGACTACGTTGGCTTTCGGGACAATATTGTCTTGTCATAGCATTATTTCAGGTTTGTAAATCTTACATACAAAAAAAGATAGTGAATTACAGTGATTGTGTGATGTACTGCTACATTTTTAGTGGCAGTAACTTATGCAGTCCTAGATACACAAGAAACCCTCATTGAAAAATGATGGCTTCAGTGTTATGGAGCCTTACAGGTTCTAGAGCTATAGAAGTCAGTCTAGGCTGCTGTTTTGCAAACTGAAAGGAATGGGAGGCGGGTAGTGTTCCTGTCCTAATACCAGGGCACCTTCAAAAGGTAGAGTTACATGAGCAGTCTCAAGAAGCACTGCTAGAAGGACATTGAATTCAAGTTGGATCAGAAAGTTTCAAGGTGTCTTTAGAAAAGGTGGCAGCTATAGGCTGGGTGCAGTGGCTCACGACTGTATTCCTAGCACTTTGGAATAATCTGAGGTCAGGAGTTCGAGACTAGCCTGGCCAACATGGGGAAACCCCATCTCAGCACTGTTCATAATAGCAAAGACTTGGAACCGACCCAAATGCTCATCAATGATAGACTGGATAAAGAAGATGTGGCACATACACACCATGGAATACTATGTAGCCATAAAAAAGGATGAGTTCATGTCCTTTGTAGGGACATAATTGAATCTGGAAACCGTCATTCTCAGCAAACTGACACAAGAACAGAAAACCAAACACCACATGTTTTCACTCATAAGTGGGTGTTGAACAATGAGAACACATGGACACAGGGAGGGGAACATCACACACCAGACCCTGTTGGGGGGTGGGTGATAGCAGGAGTTGGGGGCATTGGGAAGGACTAACATTAGGAGAAATACCTAATGTAGATGACAGGGGGATGGGTGCAGCAAACCACCATGGCACATGTATACCTATGTAACAAACCTGCGTGTTCTGCACGTGTACCCCAGAACTTAAGTATAATAATAAAAAGTATAAAAATTTGCCAGGTGGTGGGTGCCTCTAATCCCAGATACTCAGGAGGGTGAGGCAGGAGAATTACTTGAACTTGGGAGGTGGAGATTCTACTGAGCTGAGATCCTACCACTGCACTCCAGCCTGGGCAACAAAGAGCGAGACTCCATCTCAAAAAAATAAAAGAAAAAAGAAAAAGAAAAGGTGGCAGCTATAATATGACATGTCTGGGAGACCAGAATGGTGCTTTAATACTCCCTATTTAATTATACTGTTGCCAGATCCTCAGGAGCCCTGGCTCCCTTAGAGGCCTGGGAAGCTCTGCATGGCTACAGTGCCATTGTCTGCCTGCGTTTTTGTTGGATTCCCTGCTCCTTCACTGAGCTTAAGTTTGCCCTTCTTTTGTTCAATCCCTTTTTTTGAGCAGCTGCCCTGGACCTCATTCAAATGCCATGTGCGTGTTTCTGAAACTTGGCCATTTAATTCACAGAAGAGCCTTGGGAAACTTTTAGGTTTTATGTTATGCAGGGGTCATATTGCTTTGAGTTTTAGCCTCCAATTGATGCTTTAAAAAGATTCAAAGAAAGACTCCAGCTGTACCTTCTGAGTTTCACCAGGTGTATTAGCAGAAGCCAGCAGAAAAGAAGCCAGGCAGGTTGGAACCATGTCGCAGGATTTCCAATGGATTTACTGTACTTGTTATATGATATTTCATAAATAGCCGTGACTGTTCATCACAATAAATGGAAAATACAAGAAGAGAGGAATCAAAAGCCACCAGTAGAAGTAATCAGTCCTGTGTTACGGGGGCCTCAAGCTGAGAAGCATAGTGCTCAGGATTCCATGTGTCCCAGCTCCAGGCTGCCACTGCTGTCTGTTCTTTCAGCTGAAGCCTTTGTCTAAACCCCTGGATTCTGCAGATCCCTACAACCTTATCTGTCAGAATGAGGAAAAGAAACCCTATTTGGCTTCCTGGGACCTCAAGACTAGAAATCGTGTCTCAGTGGAAAGGTATTTTGGAAAGTCAAATGGCTTTGAATCTCAGAAGCAGAAGTGAGGAAAGACCTCGGAAAGTCTCATACCTTTTCTCCAGAGCAGTGTTGCCACCAGCCACCCCAGAGACACTGTTATTTCCTGTTTTATTTTGTAAATGTCCCTTAAAAATCAAATAATTTCGGTCCAGCTGTGTTTTCGACTCCCTCTTTTATGAACTAGAGCTAGAGCATATATAATATGACGTGACTAAGTCCCAACAGACATAGAGTGAGTGGGTCTCTCTGAGTTACTATTCCAATCAGAAGATAACTCTGATTGGGTGTACCCCTGGTGTCTCTCTCCTCTTTCACCGGGTCTTCGAAATCTGCTCCTCCAGTATGCTCACCCATGATTTGATTCTCAAGTACAGATATGCCAGTGAAGAATTATTTAGTTGTTGGAAAGAATGTCAGGCACATGAGGGAGTGTAAAAAGTTTGAAAAAATGGGGGGCACTTTCTCTTTATAGAGGAAGCTAGTGAGCATGTTTGCAACTAAATGTTTTTTCTTAACTTTTAAGTCTGTTGGCTCAAGGTACAATTCATGCTTTTAGTTACATCATTGCTCCTTCATAATGAAACTGCTATTCCTTAAAGTCAAATCATGCCAGGTTGAAAGTATTTAGAACTCTTTACTCATCTACAATCTCATCTCAACAAAGAACTTTCATTTTTCCAGAAGCTTTTCAAATGAACTTCATTCACAGGGAAAAAAAAAATCCTTGCATGCGTTAAGTTCTCTGGACATCTATTTTTATTTCCTAACTGGCACATTGTCATTTCCCCTGTCATACACAATTTGGCCTATTGAATTCTTTGCCATTTGATCTCCTTAAGTGCCCCAGCTTCAGCAGCCTCTTCTCTGACATTGAGAGGTTTTGCTCTGTGCTGAATGCAAATTGCCACTTTCCAGTGCGTGAAAAATGACAGGGTTTCTGATTTTATCTGGTTTGTGCATAGTATTATTAAGTATCAAACATAATAAGTATTCAACTCCAAGAAAATATTTCCAAGAGCTGAAGTCCAAAAAGTGGACAGACCTAAATTTAGGTAAGGACCAAACTTTTTGGCTCTGAAATTCTTCACCTTGCTTTGCACTTTTCAGTTTATGCATCTGACTTCAGTTATCTTTTCTTGAGGCTCTGACATTCCACTAGTCAGAAGAATAAATGTGCTCTCTGCTTAAGTTACTTCATTTATAAAATGGAGAAATTAACAGCAATTGGGTGGTTGATGGATTAAATGAGATACTACATGTTAAATGCCTAGAACAGCACCTGACATTCAGAAACTGCTCCAAAATGTTGAATTGCTATTGTTGTTGTAATAATTACTAAATTGGTTATTGAAATGGGCATGGTTTAAATGACATTTGGTCCCAGATATCAGGTGTTAGAAATTCTGAGATTATTTATGACAGAAAAGGACTCCGAATCTACAGCCACATGACCCTGAGGCCCTCCAGGTACACCCTGTGGCACATTAGACTAGTCACCACCATTCCAAATAAAAAGAATGCTGCTCTCTCAGTTTTTTTTTTTTTTTTTAACTCTCATACTCCAAGTGTGTATTCTTATTTAGTGTGGCATCCCTTGTTACTTCCATCGCATTGATCCCTAAAAATGCCCACTTTTAAATAGACAACTTCAATAGACAACTAGAACAGATGCTTTCCATATTTTGCATGTATCAC